TGCATCGCCATGTGCGTGAAAGTCGGTTTAGCGCCGTTTCCCCCGAACAGCTGATCCTGGAGCCTCGAGGAAGTTGTGAGTTATAACATGTTTACAACCTGTTTCTGTCTATTTCCCTGTCAGTCCGTTTCATGAAGGCTAGTCCCAAACTGTTGTCTAATGCGATCATCCAATGTAATGGACTTTGCTAGAGTATTGCCACGGTCGAAAGGGCTAATTGCAGAAATCTTTGGTGTTTTTCTATTCTCACGTAATGATTGGCCATGGAATTGTTTATTTATTTTTGTTGTTAGCATACCTGGTTGTGTTTTGAGGTATAGTTTTTTTTTATTTGTTAATTACAAAGTTTTCACCGTAAAGAATGTACAGCTATCAAGTAAATCAGTAAATGTTTGAAAGATATCTGGGCATCCACCCTGGCTATCAAACCTGGATATTTAAAAAAGAAAGGGGGGGGGGTGCTGCCAGGCCCCCTGCCTTGCTCCACAGAACTAGCAGCCATCAGGGAGCCAAGCTCTGTCTTGCCAGAGCCTATGTGGAGGAGGGCTGTTGGCCTTTGTCAGAGTGCTGGAGATGCGGCACCGGCGACCCTTGGCTCGGCTCTGCTGCCAGGCTTTGCACCACACAGCCAGCCTGTCATTTTTCCTTGCTTCAGTTACTCACGTTGTAATATGCATGAATCTGAAAGGGAAAACAGCCAAGAAATGAAACAATGTCATAATCTGTCAAACTCTTCAGGCCTATAGTTAACCAAAATTTCCATTTCGGTTATTTTTCTGAAGAGGAACTCGTGAAGAGTTCAGAAAGGTACGATATGGTTTAATTTCTTATTGTGGCTGTTTTCTTTTTCATCTTTGTGTACACATAACTGTGTTTGGTGTGTTTTTGTCCACGCAGGAATCTTGTTATCTTCCATCGCAAATGATAATGAAGCATTGCTAATTCTTCATGAAGGGACCTCACCCTCCTGAGACAGACCCTGTTACCCAAGCCACTTTCAGGAGTCACCCCACAACACCACATGATCCAGCTTCCAAACCTGGAAGCTTCGCCCCCAGACCCCACTGACGCCTCTCTCGTGATTCGCTGTTTCCCTGGACCCAGTGGCCACGGACTTCCTTCCCATGTGTCCTGAGTCGCAGGGTTTTTTTTTTGTTTTTTTTTCCTTTCTACTGTTATTCATTGCCTATGCACATTATTTCATATATCTCTGAATGTAGATTTTTTCCTTTCTTTATAAAAATATGGTTTAATTTTCCTGTAAATGTTTAACAAAGTATTTCATGTTGCACAACTTTCTTATAATCAACTTGTGAGAAGTGTCTTGTTTTCTGTTGTCTCCCTTACAAGCAGAGTTTACCGTGCCCCATATGGCTGTGTGGAACTGACCCTATACCCAGAGAACAATATATGCCCAATAGATTTGGGTAAAAACCAGGTGTTATAATTATAAGAAAGATCCTTAATTGGTAGTCACTGAAGTTATTATAGAATTTACCCAGAAATCTTTTGATGTTATCACATTTATGCAAGAAATCTATAGAAATATGGGACCTAAAACCCGACTAGAAGTTTAGTAATAATAGTTGAATTGAGAATGTAGGAATGGGAAACCTGAATCAAACTTTAAATTAAAGAAGTAATGAAAAAAACAAAAACAAAAAAAAAAACATTAATCCAATGCCTGTGGGTTTATGTACTGCCCCTTTTGAGTTTTGACTTTTTGTGAGTTCTGTCACACCCAGAAGGCTCCATGTGTGCTCAGCCTCCAAGGGGTCTACAAGCTGCCGTAGCGACTGTGCCTGATTTCCCATTCCTTGAATTTGCGGGAAAATGTGTTTTTCTTTCTAATACTGTTGATATTGACATTGCCTTCATTCTTATTGATGTTATGATTATTGTTACTAGAATATTAATAATATTAAAGACAATAAAATAATAGAAATGAAGCTTCAAAAAAGGAAGGAAAAGGGTAAACAGGTGAGATTGGTGAGGCTAATGGCTGACTCCTTGGTGACTAAACACTTGTAGAGCCATCTGTGTGTAAAGGCAATAGATGAACTTTTATTACAGTGGGCATGACATAGTAGTCTTACAACCTGTGCAAATTAGGTGAAGATAGTTGAAAACTATAAATAATAAACATTTAAACTTTTTGTTCAATTGCCCTGCAAGATGTGATGTGCTGCTGTGTCAGTGTTGCAGAAACCTTGTATTTCCAAAAGATCACAATACAGATAATGCAAACCTTCCCAATGCCCTATCAGGGGCAAGGCTTGGGACTCCTACCCCCTGGATATTTCCCGACTGGGTGCAAGCCTGTGGACGCCCTTCCCGGGGAAGAGTTTCTTCTCTTCCTCTTTCTTCCTCCTCCTTCTTAGTATTATTTTTGTTATTATTATTATTTTTATTATTATTCTCCTCCTCATCATTTCTTCTCCTTCTTCTTCTTCTTCTTACTATTTTTCTTTTAATGCTACTACCATTCTTAATTAGTCAAGGAAAATTCATTAAGAGTCAGTTAGTCCAGAAGAAATTGCTGAGAGTAAGTTCTTGTTTATTTTTTCACAAAAAAAACAGAGGATATACTCTGTTATAAATTGAGTAGATTTAGAATAAATGCATAACAAGGAAGTTCTGGTAAACATGCTTTTTTTCACACTTGTCACCTATGTTGAACACGGACAATAAATTCTCTTACAATTTGTTTTCTGCCCGTAAGTGAAAATCTGCTCCACTTGTATGTCTACAAAGCTTTAGCCTCCACTTTCTGTACTACTGGAAATGGGAGGTTTTTGGAGCCCCTGGTTTTTATCATTTTGTTTTTATTTCTGTAGTCTTTGGCAAAATTTGGTAGATACTGGGACTCTGTGAAAGGTTTTGTTGTGTTATAATGTAACACGTGAAATTATATATCTGTTGTTTAGTATTTATTCCAGGAATACCTCAAAGTCTATCTTATCTTACCTACAGTCTCCAGGCAAAAAAAAAAGTAGATGAAGAGAGCACGATAATAAACATTAAAACTTAATTGTGATCTGTGTCATTCCCATCATGTTAGCATATGCGTGTTGGTGTTTTGGTCAAGGTTTGATCCGGGTGATGCCTATTTTCTTTCCTAGAAGACCTATAAGGAAGTGAAAATCTCTCAGTGTCCAGTTGTGTGCATGAAAGTCAGCCACCTGCTGTGCGTCATGGTCGTTAGACTATTCTGAAGTAGAGAGAGAAAGCTAGTTGGATGATTCATGATTCTTCCAAATAGTTGTTGATTAACACTATGTAGTCGTAGTTTTGATGTTAATAGATATTTTGAAATAATAGAAATAATTAATTTAACTAATCATTGAGTCTAACAGAAAAGATACTAGTAACACATGGCATACATATGTATGCATGTTCTGTCTGTTTGTACACATACATACTTATTATATGTTCATGCTAGTATCTGTGTAAGTATAAGATTGCAGATTTTAAAAAGTTGTACCATATATACAGAGTTCACTTTAATGGAGGGAGGTGCACATGGTGGCGAAAGCACAATAGCTGGCCTGCTTCTGACTTTAGGAACACCAGCAGCAGTTGTCGTTGCTGTTGTTGCTGGGTGAGTATATCTGAATGTATATTGATACCTCAAGAGACAGAAGGAAGGGTTTCTCAATTCAAGAGCTTGAATGAATTTGCATGATATGGCTTGTTCACCATTGTCAGCGGTTGCTTGTTGTCTTCTGCCCTTTTATGTGTTGTTGATGAATTGTTGCATTTTTGAGAAGGTTGTAATTCTTTTCTCCATATATTCCCACCTAGTAATGCACTCGTGTGATCAGTCCAAAAGGGATTCAGAATAGAATAGAAGAAAAAGAAAGCCTTACATGCAGCTTAACCAGAATTGTCTCCATCAAAGTAATTTCTCTTAACATTTTTCCAAGTCTCAGCCACATCTGGGAAAATGTTTTGAGGGGTACTGAGCAGAACTTCAGTTGCAAAATGTGTAAGAGATTGTAAGATGTTTGAGAAAAGGACAGTAAAATAATTTGCTTATGTGCATGTATATTTATATAGGATGCTTCATCTGCTCACAAGTCACTCCCAATCCATGACTTTTCAATGAAGCGCAAAAGGACCCTTGTCCCCTAGTGGTCTTATTCTCCAGATGTGATCCCTGTGGACATTCAGGTGGAGGGGGGGAGGGCACCCTCAAGGATCACGGCTTTAGACATTAGTAGTAGTAGAAAAAAGTTTGCTGCAGGACCTGTGTGCTTTCCCTCAAAACATGTTCCTTGACTGAAGGCAAAATTGGGAACAGCATGCAGTGGAGGGAACTATTTTGGAAACAAGTATAATAAGTTCTAAGTATTGCAGTATTTTTTCCAGTTCCTTTTTGGACTGATCACATAGGATATTTTAGAGAATGTTAGGATAGGCATAGGTGGTCATTAGCCTGTTTAGAACTGCAAAACCTCCAGCTTGCCTGCCCCAACCTCAGCCAATGCCTGAGTTTACAAATGTCCCAAAAGCAAGATTTAATCTTGGTCAAGTTGAAACAAGCAAACATGTATTTCTCGCTCAACTGATCAAATGCGATTCTTCAGAGAAATGCTATGACTTAAGGAATAAATAGCGAAAACTGTGGCCAGATTTTAGCAAGAGAGGGGAAAAAAATCAGAATAATCAAGAAGAATTAAACCAACTGGTTTCATTACTCATCACCAAATACTGACTTTGTATCTATATTCATTGTAGATTTTGTGTTCAGTCAATGGTCTTTAGTTAGAAATATAATATAGCATGTTTATTTGTTTATTGAATCAATTTTTAGTTTTTGGTTCTTGCGAAAAAGAAACTGCCACTTCGGTAGTTCGATTAGCCGCTGCTTGAAGGTGCAACAACAAGAACCATTTACAAGCTGCCATATTTTTAAAAGATTTTTTGAAGCATGAAACATTTCCAAGTTTAAAAAATTATGCAGCTATAGTTGATACTTGCTGTTCTGAAAGAAGGGGGAAAAGCCACCTCACCTCCACAGGGGTTGCTATGTCAATAAACAGACAATTCCAGGAAATCGCACTTTAAAAATATCCCACTACAGAGTCGACGATAACTAATGCTACATGTTTTGTTATCACTTGCTTGAAGAAACCGAAAGATCAAACGGCTTACATAGTGTCCAAAAGTAGATAATAAAGCACTTCTTGGTCATTTATATTCTACTGATGACACACTTTGTTACAAATAAATTAATAAACATATATATTTATATATATATATGTAATATATATATATATACATACATACATACATACATACATACATACATACATACATACATACAAACATACATTAACATATATACATACTTACACATACATATACATATACATACATACACACACACACATATGTTATTATATATATAATATATATATATATATATATATATATATATATATATATATATATATATATAGACATATATATATATATATATATATATATATATATATATATATATATATATATATATATATATGTAATATATATATATTATGTATATAATACATAGATTATACATATTATATATATAATTTATATATATACTGTATATATAATTATATATATATATATATATATATATATATATATATATATATATATATATATATATATGTATATACTATATATATATACATATATAATATATATCACACACATATGTATACATATATATATGGCAGTATATACATTCATACATACACATGCATATATATGTATGTATGTATGTATATATATATGTATATATATATATATATATATATATATATATATATATATATATATATATATATATATATATATATATGGGAATTTGTGACTACAATGGTGAATTTCTTGTTGCATCAAGTAAGCCAGATAGTATGGTGACAGAGTCTGAAGGGGCCATGAGCCTCCCTCCATGGGCATCTCTATACAAAGGGAGATGAATGCAGGTGTAAGTGTCACATTTTAAGTGTGTCTGTAATTCTGTTGATGGTTTAATCAAAATGCAAGGATTATGTCTTGTATTGTGGATCTCTTTGGTCTCCTGTTGTGGATGCTCTGTAGATTCATTCTTTTGTTGTTATGGCTCAAAAAAGGTTTATGCACATATGTCCAGAAACATGAGTAAAAAAAAAAAGTATGCTGTAAATTAAAATAAAAATAATATAAGAACATAGATTCCAAAATATGTATATATGTTCTAAAGAATTTAAATTTACATATGTTGCAAGTACACTTGAACAGTGCTAAACAGGCTGATGCTGCCATGCCAGTGCACTGTCAGCCACCGTTGGTTGTCGATTTACCTTCCAGAGCCACTAATGGATAATGGCCAATGAAAGCCTCCCAAAGCTAAGTATCAGCATGTGTTTATGCTAGATGAGATGGAATGATAAAAAGAAATAAGAGTTGCAAACATGCAGCTGATGACGGGTGTTTGATGCTTCTGTGAATTTCTGAAAAATATTTGAATATTTGTGATAAATTCCAAGCCTCTCAACAGTATTCAATATTGATGGAGTTTTGAAGGAAAGATAATCATGCTATAAGTAATTTACAGACCTTTCCACCTCCCCAATAAAGGTGTCTATCAGGGAGATGTACACACTCGTACACTACTCCTGGAAGTTGTTTTGTTTAGCCAAAAGAAATCGGAAATACAGTATTACTCAGCATTTGACAACTTTATCTTAGTGTATAAAGACAGTCAGGGCATGAAAACCTTTAAAGCAAAAGCTAGAAAGAGGCAGACTACCCTTCATTCTTTTTCTAAATGTCAAATTGAATGTGGAGTGCATGACGAACCTTCCCATCCACTGCAACCACGCTGATTCCTTTACAAGAAAGACAGTGTGATGGCCGATGTAAAGGGTGGTGATCCTCTCCCATCTACCTGTGCAGAGCCTAACCTTTGCTCCTGTCAACTTTGTCATGCGCTACCACCCTTGACTTTGTAATCTTGAGCCACTGACCTACTAGTGTTTTTAGTATTGTTTTAGGAGTGTACATATATACCACGTGCGTGAGTAATCCACTAGGTATTAGACTCCATCCACAATACAACCTTTTATGTATACCTGTGGGATATTGTGTATTATTATCTGATTTACTGTGCTATGAAAAATGAGATCTGCAAAGCTTGTATTGCCTGATTATAAGCTTTGCTTTTGCTTTGAAAATAATCATCAACCTGGGCTTATTCATCTAGCTAATGCATAACATCTTAAGATATCACACATCATGTCCCACTTGAAAGTAGGGTACAGTTTGTAAAAAAATATATAATGCTATGACATTTTTTTGTGAGGACCAAGGTTGATTTAGTTCATTGTATTTAAGTGTGGGTGTGGGTGGGCATAAATACGTGCATTTGTGCAGAAGTGGTACTGGATTCATCCATCACATTTGAGAGAATGAAATTCCCCATACTATAACTTCAAGCGTGATATTGACTCCAGCAGGACA